CTCATGAAGAAGAAGAAGAAGAGATTGAATTTATACCCCGCCCTTCACTACCCAAAGGTGTCCCAGAGCGGCTTGCAAACTCCTGTCCGTTCCCCTCCCCACAACAGACACCCTGTGAGGTAGGTGGGGCTGAGAGAGCTCTTGACAGAACTGCCCTTTCTTTCTTTTTTCTTTTTCTTTTTTTCTTCTTTTTATTGCTTTATTGCTAGAAACACTACAAAAAGGAAAGGAAATAACGGGTGCTAACACTAACCAATAACATATAAAGATAAAGCAAGGATCATCATATCTACAAAATTCTTGTTAGTCATTCCTACTATATCGATATAAAGAGAAAAAAGGTTAAAGGAATAATACTGAATGCCATATTTCATCAAAATTAATAAAGCTAAGTGAAGCCCATTTAGCCAAATTGGGTACATCATAGTTTCAAATACAAAGTAACCTTTCAGAATTTCATTACATTACGTTAAATATCTCCTGTGCTTATTCTTGTATTTAGTTTGGACTTCAAGAGTTTTAGGAGCCGCTACTCCTTTTTCAGAATCAGAACCTTCAGAGGAGCTGTCAGGGATAGTTATACTGTCTTCAGACTCATGATCATTCTTTTCATCTGCTTGTATACTGTCCTCTGTTTTCCGTTTGTAATTGGACGCTGTTTGCTGCTGCTCCAAGAATATCTTTGCTTTCTGGGCAGAGTCAATCTTCTCCTTTTTACCATTATAGTTGAAAATAAGACCTTCTGGAAATGTCCACCTGAAGGGAGTGGAATGGTTATGTAAAAAAGAGGTTAAGTTTTTATATTGTCGTCTCCTCTTTCTTATCTCAAATGGAATATCCTTTAAGATCTTCGCTTCTTCACCTTTGATTTTCAGGGGTTTCAAAAGGTCTACTAGAGATGTTAACAAATATTTCACCAGGCAGTTTATTTTTCTTGATAAAATCGGGATAGGTTCAGTAAACCATGTCCATATCGCTTTGTAGAAAATCCGCTTTGAGGTCTGTCACTGGTGCCAATGCTTCGCTTAATAATTCCTTTAAATTCTCCCCTTTCTGTTCTGGGATACCCTGAAATCGCAAGATGTATAATGTTTTCTCTATTTGAAGCTGTAACAATTGCTCTTTATCGGAGATCTGCTCTTTTCCCACGACCTCCAGTCTCTGATTAATAAAATTTGCCTTAGCATCAACTTGTTTCACCGCTTTGTCGGTTTCATCTGCCCTTTTAACTGTATCCACCAGTTGTTACTGGAAACAGTTCAGCTTATCATTGATGTTAGTCATCTGGTCCAACAGAGGACGCAACACTGTAGCCATCATGTTTGGGAAGTCAGCAACTGCTTCCGGTTTAAGAGCCGAGGTCACTGAGCTAGCCGTTCCTGGAGAAGGTATTTTTTAAAGCGCCATTTTGTCTCCTCTCATTGACATTGTTTACACAAGGTACGGTCTATTTAAACAATCTGAAAGTCCACTAGTTTTGTTTCGCTTTATGCTATTTTGCACCCCGCTCGGCTAACTTGAAGATTTTGTAGCCGGAACCGTCACTTGCCACCTAGTTGTCACTTAAGAGCCGCTATTTTCTTAAGGGGGGGACTCCCCACCTCCTCCCCTCCTTCCAAATCTGCTAGGGGCTTTGGATTGGATTCTCTGCTTCACCGCTTGTTTAGCTTTCGGTGATTTGCAAAGACTCATGGTTCATTCCGGCGATTTTTTAAAGAGTGGAAAGGACAACGTTGCACTGGATCACTTACCCGCATCGTCCAGCATGCGCCTCTATTCTCCATATTGGTTCTCGTGGCGACGGGACCTATTGGAGTAAGGAGGAGCCTCAATTCTTCGGCCATCGCCTTGGAAGAGGCACCTCCCGCACCCCAGGTTAAGAGACCCCTAGAAGGCCTCTAGGGGGGCTCGGAACCATCCGAGTCCCCTCCCATCCGCCGCAATTTTGGGGCGCTCACATCGAAGCTCGATGGAGCGCACCCATTGAGGGAGTCGCCGAAACTGGAAGTTAGAACTGCCCTTTCAAGGACGAGAGAGCTCTTCCCAGAACTGCCCTTTCTTTTCTTTTTTTGACATTTTTATTGCTTTATTGCTACAAACACTACAAAAGGGAAACCCGGTTCTCCCAGATTAGAGTCCACACACTTAACCAATACACCAAACTGGCTCCTACTACTACACCAAAGTGGTGGTGGGCTCTCCTTCTTTGGGGGTTTTTAAGCAGAGGCTAGATGGCCATCTGACAGCAATGCTGATTCTATGAACTTAGGCAGATCATGAGAGGGAGGGCAGGAAGGGTTGAAACTTGCATCAGTGCTTAGTTCTCATGGCCCTTTCTTACATGCCCAGAGAAATGCTGATCGCCACTTTGGGGTCAAGAAGCAATTTCCTCCAGGGCAGTTTGGCCAGGGATCCTGGAGGTTTTTTGCTGTCTTCTGAGCATGGAACAGGGGTGACTGGGGTTGTGAGAGGGGGGGGGTATTTATGAATTTCCTGTATTGTGCAGGGGGTTGGACTAGATGCATCTGGAGGTCCCTTCCAACTCTATGATTCTACGATCTTGTCTCCCCCACTGCACCCCAATCTGCCATTCTTCCCTTTTTCAGTTTTGAAAACCTTTGTAAAATTGTAACATTTTTATAAACAGACGTAAATACCAGTGTACGTGGAGAAAACCAAGCCTGTGCATCCAACAAATGTTGCCATATTTTGTGAAGAGCAGTGTTGATAAGTATTTGGTCCGTGGAGCCTCCCCCAGCAATAAAATCTCTTTTAATAGGTGAACACGCAGCAAATGATTGCGAATACACGCACTGATTGTGTCACTTGGGCAAAGAGGATACCCGCACACATAAAAGGGGGTAACATAAGATTGCACTCCAAGTATGGATAATATACACATTATGTCCCATCTTGAATGGAAGGGAAAATGGCCTGGTATAGCTTCGTCTCAGAAGCTCAGCAAGGTCAGTACTTGGATTGGGGGGACCACCAAGGAAGGCCATGGCGGCAGACCGCCTCTGCTTCTGACTTGCCTCGGAAGCCCCTTGCTGGGGCATCGTCATAAATTGGTTGCAGCTTGGCAGCACTTGCATACATGCGTATGATCTTAAATCCCACATAGTACAAAAATACACTGTTAAGTTTTGCATTAGCCGCATGGCATTCAGTGGGTGTGTCATGCAGGATGGCACACGGGGGGGGGCACAGGCGGAGTTGGTGAAAGGTAGTCAGACAGCATGGGTGACACAATAAATACGGCCTGCTCGGTTGGCCTTGCCCTTTGCCCTCCTCTGCTTCGGAGCATTCCTCGTTTTCTTCCCTCTGCTTGACTCCTGTGTTTGACTGGCCATGTGACAGAGTCTCTCTCTCTCTCTTACCCCAGGTTACAACCCCCTCTCGGGAGAAGGTGGCGGGTCCTGTGCATGGCGACCGGGACGCAGAGGCCCTTCTTCAGGTGGATGACGCTAACTTGGCTGGTGGTTCCCATCTACGCCAGCCAGGATTGACTGTGTACCCCTTCAGTTGTTGCTGTCTGCAGGTTGCTTGGTGAGAGGTTCGGTAGAGAGGGCCACCGCAGTTCCGTAGCAGCCTCAAATGCGTGTGGAACAAAAGCTTTTAACGCGGTTGACCATGACCCAAAGTGCATGAAAGAAATGGTGCATCGTGAGCAGGAAGCATTTTCAGGCTACTACCAGTTCATTTTTTACGTCTCTTGGCAATAGCTGAGCAGTTTAGTTGAGCCAGTGGCCTTACCTTATTTTGCTGCTGGTTTAAGCCTTCCCACAGATTCCCCTTCTGCACACCGTGGCTGTCTTGAGGGTCGACATGCGGCTGAGGTTGTCTGCAGGGGGAAAGGGAAGGGGTTTTTCTTTTCCTGTTGTTGCTCCAGCCTTTGCACATTACAGATACGAAAGCCGAAGTATGCACTCCTTTTGGTGCTCTGAGAGTTAAGAGGTCAGAGAAAGTGCCATAGCCAGCTGTCAAGCCAACACGGTTTGCTTCGAGGCGTGGGACATGGTGCGCCTCGTGAATGCCGCTTGTCCAGCACTCCAGAGCCCTTTTGGGCTCCCTTAAAGTTCTCTGCTGGTGCAAAGAAACTCTTAAAATTTAATTTTAATTTCTTTAGAATTAAATGAGTGCTTCTAAATCCAGTTTCCAGGACTTGCTTTTCAGGGAGACTGAAATCCTCAAGAGGGCTACCTGTTGCACCTGTATTAGTCAAGCAGAAACCTCCAAAGGAAGTTTAGAAAACTAGTTAAGGGCCAAAAAGCTGAAAACACCAAAATTTTTAAACTTCTGGCCCTTAACTAGTTTTCTGAACTTCCTTTGGAGGTTTTTGCTTGGTTGGTGTAGTTTTTCTTCCCCTCTTTGTGGGGGCACCTGTCTTAGTCTGCATATAGCTCTGCCATGCTTTCATGCACTTTCAGGTTACGTTGAATGGTTCTTGGGTGCGGCTGCAATGGGTGCGAACGAGGTCCGCTAGCTCCGCGTCGCAAGCAGCACGGAATGACGTCGTCCTTACAAATGGCCAGCGTGCCACTGGGGACCACTGAAGCTAAGTCAGCCAGGAGGGGGGAAGCAGTTCTTGCCACGTCACCTTTTTAATGTTATCTGCTTTGTATGAAGGAAAATAATATGATATTTGCGGTATAGATGTTTCTATGGCATTTTTTTCCCTATGGAGAAACATGTATTTGAGCTTGATAAATGTGTCGGATGCAAGCTGTAAAGTCTAACGGCGTGGCTTACTCTGGGGAAAGCGTGTCCTCTGGTCTCTTTGCATCAGGAATCTTAAATGCATCTATGCAGGTTGTTGGTTTAGTGTCATCTGCTGTCACGGGCCCTTGATAGACACAAGAATCTCTCCTCCCTCAGGTGGGTTACAATGGAAATGTCAGTGCGAAAGAGGATTTGGGGGCGGGTTCATAGAGGCAAGGGAAACGGGGGGGGGATCCGAGAGAAGAAGCAATATGTGATCCTTCGATTATTGTTTAAATCTTGTTTCCTGAGAAAGGGCTGCATTGTCAAGGGTGTGGCTGATTGATTTCATGCAACATGTTTGCCAGAGGTATGGAGCTCTCTGCCACCATAAGGTGCGAAGCAGAGAGATATGCTTGTGTATCTTGCAGACATGTTGCTGAATAGACCCATGTCCAACTGAAGGTGCCCTGGCACACATTCATTCCGAAACCACCACCACCACCCCGATTTACGCCGGTGTTTCCCCTTTACGGTTAGGACGCTGAACTGCAGGCTGTGGAAGGTCAGTAGTACAGCAGTTCAAGACCCAGGTGCCGCATGACACCAGCTCCTGCCAACCTAGCAGTTCGAAAGCAAGAAATTGCAAGTAGATAAATAGGTACCACTTCAGTGGGAAGGTAATAGCGTTCCATGCGCCTTGGTGTTTAGTCATGCCGGCCACATGACCACAGAAACGTCTTCGGACAGCACTGGCTTCTTCGGCTTTGAAACGGAGATGAGCACCGCAACCCTAGAGTCGGATTCGACTGGCTTTCGAGCAAGGGAACCTTTACCGTTACCTTTTCCCCCTTTACACTCTGATGGTATTTTGCTCCTGCAGAGAAGGTTTCCCCATGGCGGCAACACCGTGGAGAGCCAGTTTGGTGTAGTGTTTAGGAGCACAAACTAATCTAGGAGAACCGGGTTTGATTCCCCACTTCTCCACAGGCAGCTGCTGGTGTCACTTTGTCGGGCCGGGCCATGTGTGCCATAAAACGTAATGCCAGGTACCGGAGACAGAAACCATATAAAGGACAGTAGCTGGTAAGCTCCGCGTTGGCCCAGCCCAACGAAGTGACATTTATGTCAGATCCAGCCCTCGTAATGAGTTTGACACCTCTGCTTTAGACCATAATCTTCTTTAACATTAGTGGAAGGTGGCGCTTGCCAGTGCTTGTGGATTGACCTGTGTGCATGAATTAATTTAAAGTTGCACTTTAACCAATCATTTGCCTTTTTGCAGACCAGACAGGAGAGAGGAAGGAAGAGCAGGCCCCAAACACCCAATAACTTTTTAACTCCCTCACAGCTCAGATGCTACGGCGGGCTGGCATGTAGCTGCAATTCTATCTCTGACCATCTCCAAGGGGTAACACTTTTCCCGGACTATGGGGCTTGAGTGGTTGAATGCTCTGTGGGCAGGAAAACAGCACCCTGTGCATGGGAAATGGCATGTCGTGGGGAAAGGTGCGCTCAACCGCCATCTTGACATGCTAGCTGTGTGTGTGCAGAAGGGCGCTGCTGGAGCAGGAGTGTTCAAGCATACATGCGAAAAGACACCTTGAGGCTGCACATCACTTCTCGGAAACTTCTGTCTAGAGAGAAATAGTGACACAAAATACACTGAGAGCCACCTTCTATGCAGTTGGACCACTGATCTAACTAGTTGCCCTGATTGTCCGAGGCCTCCAGGTAAGAGGTCTTTTCCTATCCATGGTACCTCTGTTGCTTTAAACTGGAGTCGCTGGGAATTAGGCCTGGGGATTTTGCATGCAAAACGCTTGCTCCGCTGATGAGCTGAATTCCTGGTGCTCCTTATCCGTAGCCCTGGGGGGCGGGGGGAGGTCCCTCTGTGTTGGAAGGAGAAACATTTCCTCCCACTTGGTAGCGGTGGGTCCCAGTTGGAGTCAGTCTGGTCCAGGAGCTGGTATCGAGGGCTTAGCAGCGTGCAATCCTTTGCATAAAGGATGGGATGAAACTGAGGAAGTTGGAGTGCTGCACCAGGGTTCCTAAGAGTCTTGGGGCTTAGAGGTTTCTTTATAGCCATAAAAAGTAGAGACATCCCCCTGCCAGCAAAAGTCCGCATGGTCAAATCAATGATATTCCCAGTAGTCATGTATGGCTGCGAGAGTTGGACTATAAGGAAGGCCGAGCGCCGAAGAATAGATTCTTTTGAACTATGGTGCTGGAGAAGACTCTTGAGAGTCCCTTGGACTGCAAGAAGATCAAATCAGTCAATCCTAAAAGAAATCAACCCTGACTGTTCCCTGGAAGGCCAGATAATGAAAACGAAGCTCAAATACTTTGGCCACCAAATGAGAAGGGAGCACTCACTAGAGAAGACCCTGATGCTGGGAAAGATTGAAGGCCAAAGAAGACGGGGACGGCAAAGGATGAGATGGTT